AGCAACAACAACAACTACTACTACTACTACCACTGCTACTGCTACTTCTACTACTACTACTACTACTACTACTACTACTACTACTACTACTACTACTACTACTACGACTACCACTACTACTACGACTTCGACTAAAACTAGTACTACTACCACTACTACTGCTACTACTCCTACAACTACCACTGCTACTACTACTACTACTACTACTACTACTACTACGACGACTACGACTACTACTACTACTACTACGGCTACGACGACTACTACTACTACTACTACTACCACTACTACTACGACTACTGCGACTACTTCTGCTACTACGACTACTACGACTACGACGACGACTACTACTACTACTACTACTACTAATACTGCTGCGACCGCGACAAATACTACTACCACTACTACTACCATTACCACTACTACTACTACTACTACTACTACTACTATTACTACTACTACTACTACTGCTACTTTTTCTTCTTCTGCTTATACTTGTACTACTACGGCTGCTGATGCTCCTACTACTTGTGATGCTACTCCTACAACTACCACTGCTGCTGCTACTACTACTACTACTACTATTGCTACTACTACTACTACTGCTACTACTACTACTACTACGACGACTACTACTACTACTACTACTCCTACTACTACTACTACTACTACTACTACTACGTCTACGACTGCTGCTACTACTACTACTACTACTACCTCCTCCTCCTCCGCCTCCTACGAATACTATTACCACGGCGACGACGACTACTCCTACTACGACTGCGGCTACGGCCACTACAACTACTACTGCTAGTAGTAGTAGTAGTAGTAGTAGTAGTAGTAGTCGTAGTAGTAGTAGTAGTAGTAGTAGTAGTAGTAGTAGTGTAGTAGTAGTAGTAGTAGTAGTAGTAGTAGTAGTAGTAGTAGTAGTAGTAGTAGTAGTAGTAGTAGTAGTAGTAGTAGTAGTAGTAGTAGTAGTCGTAGTAGTAGTAGTAGTAGTAGTAGTAGTAGTAGTAGTAGTAGTAGTAGTAGTAGTAGTAGTGGTAGTAATAGTAGTAGTAGTGGTAGTAGTAGTACTACTACTACTACTACTGCTTCTACGACTTCAACTGCTACTCCTACGACGACTGCTACTACTACTGCTGCTACTACTACTGCTACTACTACTGCTACTGCTACGACCATTGCTACTATTTGCTGCGACGACTAGTGTCAATACGACTACCACTACTGGTACTACTAGTGCAACAGCGAGAGCATACCATACTCGACTGTACTGCGATTGGCGATCATGACAGTCAACGGAACACAACACAGCTCAACATTCCACACTTAGAAAAATAAGCCAATGCGCACGAGAGTGGCACAGAGCATATAACAACATATGGTGCTAGATCATGGAATTCAAGTTGTTGCAACCCAGGGGCGATCACAGCATGCCATGTCACAAATTACCATATCGCGGCATGGGGTATGCTATACTAGACCAGAGTAAAGCTGCATACACTATTATAGCATGGGGCATGGTCTAACATAACATGTCACAGTACAGTCTCTTATACTAGAGCTTGCGAGAGCGTAACATACCGTACCATTATATCCTGACATCTACTGCCTCTTGGCAACATCGAGCAGGCAATTGAATATTACAAGGGAAACCAACAACGCCAGATTGCTATATTTTTGAAAACATGCTCCCGATCCGCCTCACCAACCCTGCATACAGCGGCCGCCATAACCGAAAGACCACTGGTGGTCCCTGAATGGCCCGCCTCGCGTCGTCGACGGAATACACGGTGTCACGGCATCGCGCCGTCCAGGCGTCACGCCGTCACGCCGTTACCACTACAGACCAGATCACCGCATAACAGGATGAAGCAGAACAGAGTATATTACAAGAGAAAGGAACACGAAACACCGTACTGTAACATGCGAGAACAGGCTCGAGCATTACATGGCATAGGCGGCGAACATACACAGCTATAAAATAATTGTGCAACGCTTAATGCAAAACCATGATTATGTATCACTGCGTGGTAGAGACCAGAACAGAGCACACCATATCATAGAGTTATCGAACGATATGGAATATTAGAGAACAAACCACGCACAACCAAACAGAAACTACCATGTGCTACCAAGGCAAAACCAAGACATCCCATCACATAACATACCATAGCGTAACACCATATACACGCATGATGATATACGGGCTTGGGTATCTCTTAACCAGCACAGCGACACACGCTTAATAGAGTAGGGCAACTCATGATATATCAAACGGACACGGGAGGTAGAAGAGACGATACCATATCATACCACACGGTAGTACGTCGTACTACAACAACAGATGCAATCGTAAAAACAAGCACGCCATGCCATGATATGAAGGCATGCATGCACGTAGCGCAGGACATAAGTGAACATACCGTGTACTCACAGAACGTGATGTCGGGCAACAACAATTGCAACACAATGCCTGTAACATGTTATCTTTCAAGATAATAGAAAAGGAACATGCTGTACCATACCACTAGATATATACACATATAACTATAGACCATTATACATTCCATTCTACTAGTCTATACCATAGAGCACCCAACGATACTACAACAGACGGGCATCGACCGAACCTGACATATTTTGATATAGTGGCATCGTGGCGTGCAACGGAGTAGATCACATTCGGCCACCATTTTCGCTGCCAAGATTTGCTCCGTCCGCTTGCTCCGGCATTTCTCGTCCGCTCCTCGGCATTCCCCCAACCATCCTGTGGTGTTGAGTCCTCTTTTTGAAGAGACAGCGCCCCGTGTTCCTCGTCCTCCTCCTTCTATTCCTCGCCCCTCTTCCCCATCCTCCCATCCCTGCCTCTGCCCTCCGCATCTCTCTGTTTCGGCGCACCTCTCACGCGTTTCGTTGCCCCACAAGGTGCAATTGTGCCGTTCGCATGCGTCCCCGCCACAAATTTCGGCACACCCCTCAGACGTTTCGTGGCCCCATGGGGATCTCAAGCAAGGGCCAACGTTGTGCCGTTCGCATGCGCTCCCGCCGCCCATTTCGGCACACCGCTCACACGTTTCGAGGTCCCATAAGAGGCTCCACCGAAGGTCCAAAATGGTGCCGTTCGCATGCGTCCCCGCCACCCATTTCGGCACACGCCTCACACGCTTCGTGGCCCCACAGAAGGGCCATCCAAGGCCACAATGGTGCCGTTCGCATGCGTCCAGGCCGCCCATGTCGGCACACGCCTCGAATGCTTCGTGGCCCTGTTGGGAGCCCCACCTAAGGTCCCAATGGTGCCGTTCGCATGCGTCCCCGCCACCCATTTCGGCACACGCCTCACACGCTTCGTGGCCCCATAGGGAGCCCCACCTAAGGTCCCAGTGGTGCCGTTCGCATGCGTCCCCGCCACTGATTTCGGCACATCCCTCACACGCTCTGTGTTCCCATGAGAAGCTCCAACGAAAGCCCAACTGGTGCCGATCGGGGGCACGCCCCTCGCACGCTTCGTGGTCACATAAGGAGCGCCTGCTAAAGCCCCATTGGTACCGTTCGCATGGGCCCCCGCCACCCATTGTGGCACACCCCCCACACGCTTCGTGGCCCCATAGGGAGCCCGACCCAAGGCCTCAATGGTGCCCCTCGCATGCGTACCCGTCACTCATTTCGGCACACCCCTCACGCGTTTTGTGGCCCCGCAAGGAGCTCCACCAATGGTCCCAATGGTGCCCCTCGCATGCGTACCCGTCACTCATTTCGGAACACATGGTCCCCATGCGTAACCGCACCCACTTGGGCACACCCCTCACACGCTTCGTGGCCCGATACGTGGGCTCCACCGAAAAGGGGTGCCCACGACGAGGCATTCACAACTGTATATGGTTGAGTCCTTCGCCAGTTTCTTGTTTTACTCTAACAGAACTCAACACATGCGAACGGGCAAACCACATCTCGACGCCGGCGCTGCTCGCAGAGGCGAGGGCGGGGAACGCGAGGACTTTGGGCCCCTCGGGGGCTCCAGATCTGGCCAACAAAGGCGCGTTCGCCCAACACTTCGGCCGAGCATCTCCGATTTGGAAAGAGTCGGCCGAAGCTTCGGCCAGCGCCAGTATTTGGTGTTGGTCTCGCTCTCTCTCTGTCTCTCTCTCTCTCTCTATCTCTGTCTCTGCTACCTTCTTCTTCCCGAGACCCCTCATCCTACAGTCCACCCATATACCCGTACAGTACGGAAGCGCGATAAGGATGCAAGGGCCTTGGGAGCCCATGTCGAAACTTTTCAAGCGGGGCGCGGCAAACGAAAGTGGCCAAGGATGGACCGAGGAGGCAAGGATGCAAGGGTACCCTTGGGAAGGTTGCCCATCGTTAATATGCGGGTTGACTGTAGGCCTCCGTCGAAATGGAGCTCGGCCCCATCCCCAACTCGGGCGAGATCATGACGCACCGCTCCCGTTTGCTATCGCAGCTCCATTTTCTATGCGCCCTTTTCTTCGTCTCTCCTCCTCCTCTTGCTCCTCCTCCTCTTGCTCCTCTTGCTCCTCTTGCTCCTCTTGCTCCTCCTCCTCCTCCTCCTCCTCCTCCTCCTCCTCCTCGGTATCGGCGAGAGGGTCTGAAATCCCCACCCGCAGTACGACGGGATGGGCTGCCGCTTCTTGACCAGAGGGGGGTCTACCCTGGGAACTTTGGAATCGTGAGCCACGGTGAGCTGTTTTCACGAACGAGACCTTGCTGGGACGGAGGAGGAGGAGGAGGAGGAGGAGGAGGAGGAGGTGGAGGAGGAGGAGGAGGAGGAGGAGGAGGAGGGAGGAGGGAGGAGGAGGTCAACCACCTTCGAGCTTCACGCCCTGCGATGCGCGGTTCTCCTCGCGCCCTCGCGAGGCCGCCGCTGGAGCCGGACGGGCCCCCAGCCCCGGGAAGCAGCGCGCGACGTGCGCGGCCGTCTTCGCGCCCCTGCGGGCGACCTCGGCTGCGGGGTCCTGATCCACCGCGCGAGCTGTTTTCTAGCGCACGAAGCCACGCTGGGACGCATCGCCACGGTTCGGTCGGGCATGTCCTCCTTCAGGCGGATTTTGGACGAAAACTGAAGGCACGCAACTACATGCAAAAAGATAGCTCGGCAATGCTCGAAACATCGTCCCCATACTATCTTTTGACTCTTATCGAATATTCCTCCTGTGGGGGGACATGCCCGATTAAACGCCCCGCCGCTCAGAAGGTGCCCCCCGTGCCATCCGTAGAGCACGCGGAGTGCCTGCCCTCGCCAGCAATGCCGTGGCTCTGCGGCGGCCGGAACAGCAATGACGCCGCGGCGCCCCCGCCGGCCGCCGCATACCTCGAGCTCGCGGGGCTGCCCCAGCTCGCGGGGCTGCCCTGCGCCGACGCCAGATCCGAGAACAACGATGGCAGAATATCAAAAGACTGTGTAAGCACGAGCTTTCGGAAGTCCGCGCGGATCTCTTCTTCTCTTCTTTGGAGCCGGGCATGGGCCGTGGCCCGCCCCGCAGCGCCGATGATCTCAGAATGAAGCAGGGCTGATCAGATGCTGCAGCGCCCACTCTATGGCGAGCGCCGGTCTCTCGGGTCGGCGCTGGAAGCGCCGTCCTCGGCGAGAGGAGAGGCGCCAGTGCGTGGGGCGTGGGGGGGGGTGAACCAGCGCCGACCCAAGAAATTCGAGCGGACCTCCGAAAGTTTATGATCATGCAGCTTTCGATCTTCCAGAGGAAGCAGACGAGGCAGGCGCTGTCGTCGCTGGCTGGAACGAGCACTGCGTCGTGGTAGCGGAACGCTTTGTGGTTGCGGTCGGGCACAAGGGAGTGCTTTCCGATAGTGCCCCATTGCTCTTCTGCTCGTAATAGAAGCGCTTGGGCAATGAAGCTGGAACGCTCTCCTGGTCTGCACCAGGGGCGCTCTCTGCTGATGGAAACCAGACCTTCATGCCGATGCATACAGCACACGCGATCGAACAAATCACGTTCGGTCCAGTAACCAAGGGGTCGTCCAATATCCAGCCGCACAGGCACCACAATGCTGATGAGCCAAGATTTGCTGTCACGATGGGGCCTGGGATTGAGCTGCTGTCTCTGGCACGGATCACAGCGGGAATCGTGGTCAGCAGCGCAACGGCGCCCATGAAGCTTGAGAACGAAGAGATCAAGCCAGTCAGGAAGAGTGATCGGTCCGATGGCAGCACCGCGAAGGAGCACGCTTGGAACAGTGCCAATATCCCCGCCGCGCTCAAGTACAAACCGAGCATCTGTAGCGCCCCTTGATTCCTGCAGCAGCGGTAAAAGGCAGCGACGTAGTAAGTGCCAAGCAGAGCCCCAAGGCAATTGGAGTAGACCTGGGGGGGCGTCAAAATACTACATACCGTACTGCTTCCCCCTGGACCCCTCCTGGGGCTCGCTACCTACCACCAGGATCCCGAAGCGGACCCCCGCAGCGACGAGGGCTCCCTGGAGGCTAACAGCGCGACGACGAAGGACGGTTATCGCCCTCGGTATGCTTCGCCTCTGCGGACCAAGATCAGAAAGCCGGCGCGACCCGTGTGCAGCCACGCGAAGAGGCCGTACGAGCACCACTGCCAGCCGCCGAAGGCGATGGAGACGTAGGGCGCGGCGTCGGCCTCGCCGGTGGAGCTGCGCGACTCCCACTGCTTCACCTGAGCGACGAAGAATCTATGTCTGTCAGCAGCAAATTGGGTCCAAGAAGCGGCTGAGACAGCCGAGGGACGCATCGAAACCGAATGGGGCACACGGGACGAACGGAAAGGTGCTGGGGGAGGAGGAAGCCCCAGGCGGCGGAGCACGCTCTGACCGTGAAGATCTTGTCTGTGTGTGCAACGACGAAGAGAGCCAGGGCTCCTACAAACGACGACATGGCGACCTGACGCGATGGCTTCCGCAGGCCTCCAGCGCGGCACACCATGCGGGAACGAGGGGCGCTCCCGCCTGACCTTTTTGCTCGGGCAGCTCGGGCGCCATTGTCGTCGCAGTCGACGCCCTGCTGTTCACGCCGCTCGCCTGGATGTAGGGGCTGAGCTGGACGAGGACGTTCCCCAGCATGCAGCACACCTTGATCGCCACGGTGAAGCTCAACCCGGCGATGACCTGGGAGAGGAACGGAAACTGCACGAGAAACCAGAGGCTCAGCCACTGCGGGTGCGCCTCGCTCTGCCCGGTCGGAGGAGGCCCCACCACTGCCCTGCCCAGAGGCCTCGCCTCGCTGCGCACCAGCTTGGCGTCTGCCTGCGTGGACGAAGTCCCTGACAGTGGTCCGATCAACGAAGGCGAGACTGCGCCCAACGTCGTGCCCGATGAGTTCTTGGACACGGCAATTCCGCCTAGCGTTGGGGAGACGAAGATCGCCCCGTGTGCGCAAGTCGTGCTCGCCAACGCGATGGCAATGACCAAGGTAGAAATTCTTGCCCGGCACATCGAAGAAACCCTGGTGGATGCCACGTCTCTGGAAACGGTAAAGGTTGACTGTGCCGTTCTCCGCGGAGGGCGGCGCAGGAGAATCCCTAATCTTAGATGCGCGTTGCTTGAAGCCAGAGCGAATGCGTGCGATGACGATATGGAGACGGAGATTACCATTCTGGCGATCATCCGAATGATCTGCGGGGAGAGACGGGGCGCGCGCTGGCCTCTGAACCTTTTTTGGCTGTGCGCAGCGCCACATATTCCTCTGTGCAACACCAGCCTGCGTGCGTTGGCGCGCAAAATCCCGTGCGAGGCGCTCGCGTGGATGTCGATGACCGACAGACGACGAGGAAAGCTAGACGTTGCCAGCACCACAACAGCTTTCGAACACCCTTCATGTACAATATGGCATATGGTGGGCTCCATGAATATAGCAGTATTTGCCACCGTGCCGTGTACACGTTGAGTCGTGGAAGAACGCCGAGGGCTGTCTGGTAGGGTTTCTGTATTCTAATAGGGGCTCCCCCCACGTACCAGCATCTGCCCGCATGCATCATCCCCCCCTTCCCGAGGCCATGATCCCTCGTAACAAACTAATGCATCCCTGCTCCCGACCCGCGAATATCTATTCAAAACGATGGATCCGCGTCCGGAGCTTCCAAGACGGTCCATGCTGGCAGCCAAGGACACAAAGATGGCCCAAGATGCCTCGAAGACGGCCCAAGATGGCCCTAAGGCGGCCCAAAGTGCTTCTGAGACGACCGAACAGGGCCACCAGAGGACTTTTAACAGGGCCCGGAGCAGTTACAATCATTGACTTTACATGGTTTGGATGAGTTTCGCACTCTCGTCTTTTCGCATTTCCGTCAGCTCAAGACGGTCCAGGGAGCCTATACGATGTCCCCAAGACGGCCCAAGAGGCCTCCCCAAAGGGTCCAACGATGGCACAGGAGGTTCCAGGATGGCCCAAGAGGTATCCAAGGCGGCCCAAGAGGGCATCCCGTTGGACCCATAACGGCCTTAGAAGGCCTTTCGAGGGCCCAAGATAGACTCCAGACGCCCACCATACGGCCAAGAGGGCGCCGAGTCGGGCCACGAGAGCTCCAACACGGCGTAAGAAGGCCCCAAGACGGCCCAAGAGCGCCCCACGGGACCCCCACGACTGCCTCACAAAGGCCAGGACAGCCCCAAGACGGCCCAAACGAGCTCCTCAACTAGTGAAGACGAAAAGTGTCACATGTGACGGTCTTCCTCTTCCTCCTCCACCTACTCCTCCTCCATCCTCACCACAATTACCATCACCATCATTATTAACATCACCATCATAATCATGATCACCATCATCATCACCACCATTATCACCAACACCACCATCCCCACCACCATCATCGTCATCATTATCACCAGCATAAAATCATCATCAACACTACCACTATCACCATCAATACCATCATCATCGACATCGTCATCATCACCGTCATCAACATCATCGTCATCACAATCATCGTCATCAACATCATACTCATCAACATCGCCATGGCCATCGTCACCGTCATCACCATCATCATCACAGCCAATCATCATTCTCCTCACCATCGTGATTATCATAATCACCACCACCATCATCGCCATCATCACCATAGTCATCATCAGCATCAGCGACATCATCGTCGCCACCACCATCACCAGCACCATCACCAACACGAGCATCGTCAGCATCCTACTCATTTCCATAATCAGTATCACCATCATCGTCACCATCAACATCAACATCACCATTGACATCATCAACATCTTCACCCTCACCCTCATCCTGACCACGGCTTTCCTACCCTCGATCAGTCGCATCTCAGAATGCGGGGCTGGCACGGTGATGGGACTTGCCGCAAGCAGCTGGACCATATGAGCAACGTAGTATGCGCGCGAACACCGACAACGTGCATGTGAGCCTCGCAACCGCTTGCTAACGTCACAACGTGCCTGAGAGCACCACGCCGCGCATGCGACCGTCAAACTGCGAGAAAAGCCGGACCCTGCCAGTATTATAGTAACCTGCGAACGCCACACGTGCGCAAGCACAGCAGTTTAGAGGACCCTGCAAGTCCGACCATTAGCCTAAACTCGCCGTGCTCTGCCTGCGAAGGCCAGCAATGCGCCTGCGAACGCCACAAGGGCCAACAGGAACCATGACGAGCCTGAGAGCACCGCACCGCGCAAGCAACAACCAAACGGCGAGGAACAGGCAGACCCTGCCAGTACGACAAGAGCCTGCCAACGCCACATACGCGCAAGCACAGTCGTATAGCGGACCCTGTAAGTCCGACCGCAGCGTGCAAGCGCCCCCCCGTGCCTGCGAGCACCAGTGTTGCGCCGGGGAGCCCCGCAAGAGCCCAAAGGAAGCACAACGTGCCTGACGTCACGACCACGCGCATGCGACCACAAAACGGCGAGGAAAACCAGACGTTGCCAATACATCAATAGCTTTGGGTGCTCCGTGTATGCGCAACAGAATGCTAGACCCTGCCTGTGCAGCATCAGCTGTCGAGCTCCACGCGAAGTGTGCGAACACCAGCAACGTGCCCACGACCACCAACGCAGCCTGCTAATTGCACGGGCTGCATGCGAACACCGCAAAACACTTTCGACCACAAGGCAGCGAGGGAAGCCGTCTCAGGCGCCTGGCCAGCGGCGGCCTGCAAAGTAGCTAAGCTCGCCAATACCATCCTCGCAACGACCGCGTGCGGTCGTCATCATCAACGACGCAGTGTCGCATGGGCTGAGATAGCTGCACCCGCGCGTGCTGGTCGCGGCAACGCCCCCTCCTATAGCCTCTGGCCACAATCCGGTGATGATCGTGACGATGACGATGATGATGCTCCCCCCTCGATCAGCCCTGCACATAACTGAAAACGAAGAGGATGAGGAGGAGGAGGATTAGGAGGAAGAGGGGAGGCTAAGGAACAGGATGAGGAACCCGCTGATGCGGAGGAGGAGGAGGAAGAGGAGGAGACGGAGGCGTTCGGGCCAAGCGTTGCGTGTCCCTTTCCCTCCCCCCCTTCCTGCCCCCCACCCACCCTTACCTCACAGTCTCCTCCTCCTCCTCCTTCCCCCCCACCGTCCTTGCATTCCACCTCCCACTCCTTTTCTTCCTCTTCCTCCTCATCCTCCTCCTTTCCCTCCTCCTTCCTGTCTACCTCCTTCTCTTAATCCTAGTCTTGCCTCTCCTCCATCTCCTCCTGCTGTTGCTTATCCCTCCTTCCCTCCACCTTCGTTGTTGTTCCTCCTCCCTCCTTTCTTCACCCTCCTCTCGCCTCCTCCTCCTCCTTCTCCTCCTCCCTCCTCCTCCCTCCTCTTCCCTCCTCCTGCTCCTCCTCTTCCTGCTCGTGCCTTCTCCTCCTCCTCCTCCTCCTTCCTCCTCCTCCTCCTCCTCCTCCTCCCTCCTCCCTCCCTCCCTCCCTCCCTCCATGCTCCTCCTTCTACAGCTGCTCCTTCTCCCTCCTCCTCCTCCTCCTCCTTCCTTCTTTCCTCTCCTCCCTTTCAATACCCTTATCCTTCTCATCCTTCTCCGTCGCTTCCGCTGCCCCCCCTTAAGGCTCAAGTAGAGACCTGGACATTGCAAGAATGCAGGCGTGAATCGGCTGATGCTGCTGCCGCTGCGGACCGCGGCAACGCTTCTTTGATCCACTGCCAGATACAGCTGCACGTCACTCCGAAAGAGACTACATACAGAACGATAGCCACTGCGAGCTACCAGGGGAAAGGATGAAGCATGGAATCTGTAGGCGCTCCCCTGTGTTGCCTCCAGGCTGCGAGCAATCACTTCGCAGTCCCTTCAACGTGGATCCCTCACCTCTGAAGAATGATGATGTTCCATCCCCTCTGCCCGATGACACCATCGTGTTTTTCAGCCGAAACGTGCCCCTCGACGATCGCACCCAATAATGTGTCAGGGGGACTCTCCCGGCTAAAACTGGGGCTGTGCTCCCTCCCAGACTACAACAACAATGACATTCACAATCATTTCGAGTCTGTTTGTTTTTATCTGCTCTCGTGTCTTTCAACATGTGTATCCCACACTTCGATCAGGCCCCTCTTGAATGTATATCTTCCTTACTTGCCACATGTTGTCGGCGCAGCAACTTGGCACAGGGGCAGAGAGGGAGGAGGCAAGGAAAAAGGGGGAGGGAGACGGACGGAGCACGACAGAGATTAGCAGGAGGGGGTTAGGAGCAGGAAAACAAGCGGCAGAACCAGACAGGCGGGTCGGGCGGGTGGACCCTAAACGGGCGGGTCGGGTGGGCGGGCCCAGACGGCCGGGTCGAGCGGGCGGGTCGCTGAAGCGTCAGTCCTGCATGAATCGCGAGGAATTCTCGAGCGATAATTCGATTCCCAAGCAAATCGCGAGGAAGTCTAGAGCGGGAGCTTGCTTCCTGAGCTTCGAGGGCGCGGCGTTTCGACACATTGTGAGTCTCACGCGAGAGCGCGGTTCTTGGATAATTTGTAAGGATGTCCCGCGCGAGAGCGCGAATGTGAATCAGTTGTGCGGAAGTATCAGGCGGGAGCCATTGATGACCCTTTCTCGCCGACTGAGTCCACACACGCACGTACACACAAACACGCACACCCACACACACGCACGGGAACACGCACGCACGGGCACGCACCCACACAATCACACACACACACACGCACACGCACACGCACACGCACACGCACACGCACACGCACACGCACACGCACACGCACACGCACACGCACACACACATACACAAACACACACAAACACACACACTCACACACTCACACACACACACTCAAACACACACACACACACACACGCACATACACGCACGTACGCACACACTCACACGCAAACGCGCGCACACAAACAGGTAAACGCACACACATACACGCACGCACACACACACACGCACACACACACACGCGCACACGCACGCACATACGCACGCATATACGCACACATACACACACGCGCGCACACACGCACACACGCACGGACACACACACAAACGCACGCGAACACGCACACACATACGCGCAGACGCACACACATGTGTATACGCACGTACACGCACGCGCGAACGCGCACGCGCGCACACACGCACGCATACACACACGCACACACACACGCACACACGCACAGACACACACACGCACACGCACGCACACGCACACGCACACACACACACACACGCACACACACACACACGC